ACACAAAAAATGCCAAATAGCATGACCCTTGAACAATATCAAAACCATTCCAGCAAAACCACCAAACAATGTGATTTAAAACACTATTTACCACAATAAAATTTATCAAAGGAAACTATATTGTCTCAAAATCTAGACTTTGCGACGAGAACTAAAATAGATATCATATAACATAGCTTCTTTCGCATCTCACCGGTATTGTTTTAATGGCAATGGTCATCTACAAAAGCATAGAAAGCAACCCAAGAATTCAACCCAAGTACGCAAAAATATTCCCATGACCAATTTATGATATGTGAAAAAACCTCACAAAGTGCAATTCCAATTGCAGACCTTTAAATGTCTCAGGAGCAAAAGATCATAATTGAAACATGCGAATTTTTAATGTATGGGACTTAGCGTTAGTTTTGTCTCGACCAAATAGCTTTCTTGGAGTCGACTTCCAGAATACTCTTCAACGAAAATCATTCTTAATAATTTTAAAGCAATACCATGTGATTTCATATTCAACTGATCCATCATTCATCAAACAAACATATTTCATATGAAAAGGCAATGAATCTTTAGGGATTGTTATTAGGGATTCTACTGGAAGAGTTCATGGGGATACGTACCAAACAGTTCATGGGGATTCATGAATGCAATTTCAGTTTTTTTTTTTTTTTCTCATGGTCATCTGAAAGATTTAACTACAAAGCACCCTAGTTAGTTATCACTAACAACTATAAAATTTTATAAGACAATGCAATAGAGCTACTGAAATTGACACATGAACAGCAATAAAGAAAGTACACCACCCACCATGAACACAACCATTAACCCACCATAGAGACATAAAGAATCATACACAAACATTTCGCACGCGAAGTCAAAATGCGGATTATAAGCAATACATATAAAAGCAATTAAACTTAAACATACCCAATTGAAATTAGCAAACGGAGGCGAGATAACTACAGATTCAATCGTCAATGAGTAAGTATCAAAAAAATAGATGAATTAACAAATGCACATGTAACCAAGCTACAACAAATAAGGTATTTGAACTACGTTCATCATTCCAACGCAATCATAACATGGATTAACAAATGAAACTTCAATAAAGACCCAGAGAGCCTCTGAATAAACTATAAAATATATAGCAAGAAAAATAAAATCAATGAAGTGAAGATAAAAAATGAAGTGTATTTTATATTCACATCTCTTCACTAGGAGTAGCTAGTATAAATAGGATTGATAATTTAGTTGAACTAGTATATCGAGGTTCTTTTTTAAAAAAGTCTAAAAAATTGTTCAAGTTTGACTCTTTTAAAAAATGAGTCGAATCTGAACTAAGCCCAAAACAAGTCGAACCTGAATAAGTTAATTATTTTACATATAAACGAACCAAATTTTATAAGTTCGAATTGAACTTTTTTAAAATTATTTTTTAAATAAATTAAAAAATTATTTAAACTCAACACGAACTATACCCGAGGAAAGCCGCTCAATCATACAGCCCTAAATACGAATACATCTCCAGTTTGATGGCAACATGAGTTTGGGTATGTACTCCATTCCAATAAAATGGAATAAATCCCAATGTAGTACCACTTGAGTTTGGGTCCGTGCATTGCACGAGGTATCTCTGGTGCGTTGCGTACAGCGCACCAATGTCCTATGAACCGGAGATGTGTTCGATATTTTTTTGATCTCCTTGGGGTGCACGTAGGTCAATTCCCAAAGTCTATGTTCCATTTACATGTATGAAAAATGTTCTTATTTTTTTTTTTTTTAATTCAACGGTTAAAGATGTTCAGACCAACTTATATGTAATTCAATTAATCTTTTTTTTAATTCGGTCAAAGACAGACCATTGACGCTAGAACTAGAGTATTCATGAGAGATAAATCTCTCGTGATCACCTGATCTCATAAAATTGTCAAGATTCAAACTCAAGACATATAAATTTTCAATTCGTTCCTATCTATTTAAATTATCCTTAAAATTTATTCTTTTCATGTATGATGGAGAACAATACTCAACGTTGGAGTTTTACTTGCATGGTGTGGTACATTAGGTGCAACAGCTAATGTACCTTTTCAATACATTTGTGTCGATTTCCATTACATTTTTCCTTTGCCTTAAACTGATACCAAAACATGAAGTGTATCCCACTTTACTGGGTTATGAGTCACTGCTTACCAAAAAAAGTCAGTCGGAATAGTAAAATATATTTTTTTAAAAAAATAACAGAAAGTATATTATCTTTGGTCGATATATATAGATATTACATTTGTTTCACTCGGTCCAAAACTAAGTTATTTTTTTTAGTAGATAAGCGTTTAACGGACTACTAACTTACTAGAGACAAAACGAACTAGGGCCACAGTACAAACTTCAAATTTTATGGGAGCAATGTGATAAGTTGACTAAAATTTTGTTTTACATAACAATACCACCAAACCCATGTGGTTTAAAAAAATAATTCCCTCAAAATGGGGTGTTTTTGAAATTACTTTTGACAATTTTTAAAAATATCAGTTGAATTGACGTTTTTTGCTTAAACACGTCAATTCAATTGACATTTTTAAAATAAAAATATTAGTCTAAAATGACATTTGTAAGTTAAAATAAACTTCAGCTCATTTGACCTTTTTAACTTCTTGCCGCACGTCTGTTTTTTTTTTTTTAAATTTAAAAGGCATATGCTTCCATTCAGAGTTGCAATAACTTACCATTCGGTTGGATGATAGCGTGCGCAACAGTGGGTATTTTTTAATGTTAAAGGAGGCATTGTACAGTTGCTTAACTATGAGGGGAAGATGAGGGAAAAATGGACACACTATGAAATTTGTCTGCATCAGCAAAACCCAAACGGATGCTGGGGGAACAAACGTCTGAGGTTTTCAAGATGTAACACTTTTTTTACTTTTTGTGTTCCTTAGACTGACAAATTTTTTTTTTTTTTTAAAAAAATCTGTACAATTGATGTTTTTAAATTAAAAACGTCAATTAGACTGACGTTTTTAAAAAAATTACCTAATTTTGAAAAATAATTTCGAAATTACTCCATCGTGAGAGTTAATTTTTCAAACCACTTGGGTTTAGTAAAAAGCTCATTCCTCGTACAGTAATACTACAATGACTAAATTTTTGGATTAAATTTAGAGTTCAAATGACATGATAACTGACTATTTGAAATTTTTATTGGTACTCAAGTGACATGACACAAAATAAAGAAGTCCAAGTAAACTGTCATGTCATTTGAGTTTCAAATTTAGTCAGTATAATATTACTCTTCCTCAAAAGGGGGGGGAGGGGGGATGGTAGTGGTGGCAATTATGGTAGGACGGTGGGGGTAGGACATAAGGTTATCAGAATATTGATTAGGAAAGTTGAACGTTTCGCCACAAGGTAGAGAGAGAGAGATATACTCTGAGAGCCAAAGTTCATGAACAAGTAGTTTATAGAAACTTATTAGTGGTGGTGGAGGTGGAAGAGGCGAAAGAGGAGGAGAAAGATTGGTCATTTAATAAAGAAAAGGAGAAAGTAGATAGATAGTGTAGTACTCAAAAAACTTAAAAAGCATATGTCTTCGCTATAACAGGACAAGCGGCAACGATTATCAGTTGACATAGAAAATGGGGCCTGATAGAGTTCAATTGGACTGGTATAAACAACAATAACAAGGTGCAACATTCTTGGACGCGACACCCCCTTGGCGCAATGCCCCTTTGCTGGAATGGTATCGCAGAAGTATGGGGCAATCACGACGAAACTCGTTCCTCCACTGCAGGAGTGGTATCCTCAACCTGTTGGACACCATTGCTCGATCGGTCCACTGGACTAAGAGGAGATGTCTCCACCTGGGGATATGGAAGTACGACCTTCCTCAAGGAAAAACTGAGCAATGGGGATGGATGCGCATGATTGTCAACCTCGGCTTGGGGTAAGGTTTCGAAGGTTTAATTTGCTCGAGCAGGCCTCTCAGTATATGTCTCATTACCCGCTGGGATGCGCTTGATTGGAATCCAGAGAGACTCTTAAGGTAACTAGGGTTATTGGTCCGGACAACATATGAGATGATGAGACATGTGGATTGGTAGCTGAAGGACCGAAACTATGTAAGTTTCTTCTATCGGGCACCTCGACAAAAGTCTCAAGGAAGGGTTTAAAGAGGGAAAGGAGGACCTCAGGTAGGAGTGCGCTGGGGGCATCGGGGACATGGCCCTCGCGAGGTCATGGTCCCATGATGACCAGTCGCAGTCGTGGACCTTGGGAGCCCGCCCTCGCCTTAACTGTTGCACATTCCTTAGGGTCATGTCTAGGTTGTGTTTGGGGAAACATCACATCTGCTTAGTTAATGTTGGAACGTATAACTCGCTGTTAATGGCTATTGGTATCGTCGCGTTTGAGGCAGTTGTTGATTAGCGCGAGTAGTAGGGGTCGCAACGGGCAGCCCTTTGGGCAGTTTGACCTACCCGAACACTGTGTTATAAATATCCACATTACTTGCTCACTGCAGAGGATGATTTTTCTGGCTGGTGAGAGTATTTTTCATTAACCCTCTGCCCAACTGGTTTGTCCCTCCATTAACAGGCTGCTCGAGTTCCTTCCATCCCATCCACTTATCCTACTCACTCTTTTCGATTACACTTGGCATAGACACGCGTGCCAACCTCTTTTAACTCCCCACCTACAGATAGTATCCAGAAAGTGAATCAAGATTTGTTTATTACGAAATGAAAATTTGAATTTACTTTTAAATTAGCATCTTAAGCCATTTTTCGATTTGTGCGGGTCAATTTTGAGCAGTGAACATACTAATATTTACTAATATTTTCTTTATCTTTTCAATTTTATTGAATGTCAACTTGCATACTTTGGGACAATTAGTATACAAACTCAAAAAAGAACTAAAAAAAGAAAGAAAAAAAATTCATGAATCTGCATGCATCAAGTGCAATCTGCTTCGACCGAACACTTAAAAAAAAAGAAAAAAGAAAAGGGAAACAGATTCATGATTTTAATTTTGATTCAACGTGCTTTGACAATGCGGCAATGGCAACGTCCACAGCATCCTGAAATCCATAACTAGTAGAATTGGGGTGCATGTAAGTCAATGATGGAATCAAATGTATAATTTTCTTCCTCATCTTCTCTATTTTGTCTATCGGAATCTTCACTAAATGATCTTCTATCCGTTTGTCAGCATCTTTCTCTCCATCTATGAATACCGAGTATGAATTGGGATTAGCAGGAAGATACCATGCATACTGTGAATATGCAGTATGTTTTGAAAAAAACACTGGAATACAACCAGCGAGAAGAGAGTCGAATGTAGAACGTCGAGTGAACATGTCCCCTGCAGGTTGCAAGCAGAAATGTGACATTGTCATCACCTTTAGTACTTCATTTGGCTGGTGACATTTACTTGCTCCATGACCACATTTCACAAGCAAACACCGAGTCGATTCACCACATTGTTTGAGGATCTCATCTCTGATTTCTGCCTTCTTTACCCCTGTTCGTGGTGCTCCGATGAATGAAAATAAGTACGGCCGCTCTATTCGAAGCATCCTTTCTTGCCATTTCAACATTTCTCCCATTGTAGATGGATGGAAATAGGATGCATAGGGAATACCATGCTGGTTTAGCCCTTGCCAAGGGTTCCTTTCTACAATAAGCACCGACATGTTTTGTACAGGTGGCAAAAGTAGAAGCCTGTTTGCGCCATAGTCAACCCCACCATCACTCCTCATGAAATCCCACGCAGTCCTTCCAACTACCAAGAAATGGTCCATTCCATTACTTCTTTGCCACCATGGTTGTTTACGAATATAGTCAGACAATTCGAGGGCTAATGCGTCACGTTTCGCATGATTAGGCTCCCGGAACTTCCATGAAACATGGAGGCCGCCATAGAATGGGACATAGAACAAGTCGGCTTTTTGGGGGTCCCGTGTACGACAATGGTGCTTTTCCATGCGAGCATGGAAGATCATCTCCGCCGTGTACTGGTGGGTGGCGAACCAACTGTTTGATCCCATATTAGGGAGGGGTTGGCCTAGTCCGCCGTTTGCTACGTGTGGACACATGTTGGTGTACACGTTCAAATTCTGGCAATGTCGGAGGAGGTCGAGGTTGAATTTCTCCGGTAATTCGTACACAAAAACATTGTCTTTGCAATGAGGTAGTGCTGAACTGAGAGAGGGGTTACCTTGGGAATCTTGAAATGAATTTGGTTTCGCCGGTGGAAACCAGTAGAAGAGAAGGAGAAACCAGAGCGTCAAGAAGGCAACTAAAAGCACAGAGAATCTCATTTGGAGAGAGTAGTTCATGTTATTTCTTGGGAGAGAAAGAGAGAGATAGATAGAGAGCTCCTTCTCAATCAAGAATGGTAAGAGCTGCCTATTTTATTTACATCTCCTTATTACTTTTTGTCCAACTATACTTTGCTTTCCTATTCCAAGTATAACTTTCTTGCCTTCCCACCTACCCAGCCAATCCCTCTTTCTCTCTCTCTCTCTGTCTTAATGTGGTTTCTCATCAGCTTTCGATTCTGTATATATACAATTTTCACCAGAAGAACCTTCTGATCATTCTTGATTTCATCGGCTTTCGGTTCTGTATATATACAATTTTCACCAGAAGAACCTCGTGATCACCCTTGATTTCTTATTCAATTAGATCCGTATTCATGGGACCTTGTCTGTAGTTGACTTTACGTTAATATTTAGGTGTTTGGTTATGGTAATATTTAACGGCTGGCTGGCACATGTTTCCATCCCATAGCTGTAACCAACCTGTTAGACTATTAGCTCTTGTTGGAGCCGCAAGTTGACCAAAAATTGTTTGGTAGCGGTGTGTGTTGAAGTTCATGTATTGAAATTAAATTTCAATAATAAGAAATTATACAAATATATATATATATATATATATATATATATATATATATATATATATATATATCATAGCTCCATGTGATATACCGTATTTTCAATTTCTCTCGTCATAATCCCACCACCCTATCCCTGACCCTAATATTAATTGACCAATTATCCATTATTGCTCTAAGTTAAAGAGGATGAAAATTTTAAATTTAAAATAGTTTTGTGAGAGTTAATTAAATAAGTCATATAAAATAATTTCATTTGATGAGATTAATGATGTTTTTAAATTATTTAAAATTTTTAAAAATCTCATTTTTAATAAAAGAATGTCTTATAAGAACTCTCCCCTTAATTAATTGCTATAGTATGTGGTAAATATAGATTAAAAGAGAGAAAGATTGTGTGTATGTGTGAAAGAACAGGGGAAAGGGGGAGATAGTGGGAGAGAAATTTGGGGTAATTGAAATTTTTTAGGATTTATTCTATTAACAAGGAATTGAATTCTTAAAAAATAAGTGTCAATAAAATGTGAGAAGTTTGAATCTGATTAGGTTATTTCAAATTAAATAGAGTTGGTCATAAACTTAATTTTTTAGATTTTTTTAAACCAATTGTAAAAAATCACATTATTTTTCAATAATAAAAAATTATAAAATTCAAGAAAATAAAAAAAAAGTCTTGGAGGACATCCACACTATACATTTAAATAATACTAGTCAGTGCACACGTGCGTTGTACATGGACTATTCTTCGTATGATATTATATATGAAAAACTACTTTTCGTATTAAAAACAATAAAGAAAATATATGTTATTCTAACATCTAATAGTTTATTTGGTGTAAATATTTCGTTGCCCTTGTAACTTAGGTTTTGTACATTTTTTATATTTTTACTTTTTGTTATGATAGTTTTCATAAAACTTGTGCCAAGTACAAGAACTTGTGTGATCTTGTGCTTAATAATTAGCAATTACATGCATGGCCTTTCAATATCTTGATGCCTAGGGCCAAATATTAAAAGTCTTCATTGAACTAAATGTACTACAACCGATACCATTCTCTTTGAGATTGATCTTTCATTAGTTTATTGTGATTTTCTTTGATATTCAGTTGTTCATAGCCTGTACCATCTTTTTAATGGCTGAATAATACATTTGATTTCATACAACTCAAGTCTCTGATAAAGAAGTATAAATTTCTGTCATTTTTCTCACTCACAAGGTGAAACCTGATTGATGATAGTGCAACTGATAAGCACATGGTCTTTTTACCCGCATAATTAGGGGTAAAGTCCATATTTTGGTCTAACAATTAGAGGATCTAGGTCATTGGAGCTCAATAAAAAAATATTTTGAGATACATAATCAATTAAATCACCAAAATAACAAAGCTAGCCATACAAATACACCAAAGTCTGTAAGCCCTTTAGTGGTCTTAATACTTAAACCAACCATAACCAATTATTTTTTTCCCCTCCAAATTCATCAAAAAGAAAAACAATCCCTGTCTTCCCAGGATCCCTATAGAATGTACTAATTAGAACCACTAAGCACAATACCCTGGAGTTAAAATTTATAAACAACAAAAGAGAACCTTGAATGAGTTTTTAATAGTGACTGACGATCATCTTCATTATTGTCATCAAAAAGTATTTAAGGATTGTTCTATAAGGCATTCTTGATTAAATAAACGATGTCCTTTTGTGATTGATATTTCATCTATGTGCATTCATTTTTGACTAAATAAACAATGTCCTTTTGTGATTGATATTTCATCTATGTGCATTCTTAAATATACATTTTCCCCCGTTCTATGTAAAAGGAAATATTAATAGACAATAAAAAGTGAGCTAAAATAGAATGAAACAGTAGCACCTAGGATTGTTTAGCACTCGAAGGATATCCTGACTCATCGATTTGAGTGTTCATGGACCCTTTGCTTTCGTTTTTCTTTTGAATCTTTTCATCAGATAAATCAATCACAATAGTGTTCTGGCTTGTGGCACCCTAAACTTGTTGGCACCATTGGTTAAATGCTTCATTGTTAGATTTTAATGTAATTATCATGTGGTGAGAATTGAGAAATACACTACAACAAATTTGTTTTTTAACGACGAATTGACTCGTAGTAAAATGTATTAATTTCATCGCCAAAAAGTTTCTGCGATAAACTCATTTCGTCGCCATTTTATCGCTTTAGGCTCGTCTGGGAAAGTTTTTAGCGACGACAACAATTTCATTGCCAAAAATACACAATAGGCGACCATAATTTTGTCGCCAAATATGTTCTTATTTCATCGCCAATGTTTTGTTCGTCGCCAAAAAATAAATTATTTTAACTACATAAAATCTTTAGCAACAATTATATTCATTACAAAATGTGAAAACTTTAGCGACCGTCTTTATTTTGTTGCTAAAAATAAGTACACAAAATATTGACAACAAATATATTTGTCGCCCAAAAAAGTCATCCAACATTTTAGCAAGGAATTTTTTTCGTCGCCAAAAATGATGAATAATGTTTTAGCAACGACTTGTTTTCGTCGCCCAAAAAATGAATGTGATTAAATCTCATTTGGCCCTATAACAATTTAAAAACATTTATAACAACTCAAAAACATTCCGACCAATTTCAATCATGCACCAATGACAATAGATAATCCAAAAAAACACATCACAATTACTAAAACATTAATATATTACTCAAAATATAAAATAACATCTAACAATTTTCAATAGTATCAAACAATATCCAAAACTCCTAACAATTTCCAAAATTTTCAACATCCAATATCCCAACATCTAAAATCCCAACAACAAAATATCTCAAATATTTGAAAGAAAAGATGTCTGGGTATCCAAAAAGAGCTCTTTAAAATCCATCTTCAATCTGTGACAAACACAAAAAACTCATTAACGCATTATAGATAAGAAGTAAAAGAAAAAATATATGTCCATAGATAAAATAGCTTACTAAGATAAAGTTGAATTGCTCGGCTCCCCAATGCCCCCAACACGTTGCACTGCTAACCTCACATCTATCATTTGTTGCATCGTCATTTCTTGCCACTTCTCCATTTGCTGGAGTTTTTTCTTGGTTTCATCCAGCTCTATCTTCAGACTAGTCACCTCCTCTTCATTTGCAATAGTCTTAGACGTCTTTTTTGAAGAAGGTTTTGGTCCAACCCCATAACCTCTCTTATAGCTAGACTTGCAGCGAAGGACGGTATTTGCAATCTCCTCCTCAAACATATGTGATTCACCATCTTGTGTGGACTTGTCTCTTAATTCCTTCATCTGGTTCTAAAATTTTAAAAAATAATTGATAACTTGTTCACAAAATGAAACTTATCAACCTTATTCATCTCAAATACAATAACATCAAGAAAATTTTTATACTTACGTATTGAGACTCTGCTTCTTGTGATATCCATTTGTTCGACTTCTTGCTAAAGTGAGATTCACGAAAGAAATCTACAAAATGAAGTGGCTCCTGGGTCTCGGGATCTTTCTGTTTTAAAAAACTGTATAGTTACAACACCTTAAATAAAATAACATACAAAAAAGGTATAAGTTAAAACACTTAACCATAACATGCATTGCAGATGGAAAAGACTTAGAACCCATAGCATGATTGTAGGATAGCTTGACACGATTTGTAGAATTTATTTTAGATTGTTTTTACATAAAAAATTTAACATAGGTTAGTGTAAGGACAATATCCGATTGTAAATAAAAACCAGCAACATTAGTGATAAAATATCAAGTTTTTACCTAAAATTCTGGATCTTTGAATGCGTGCTCGATTATATAACTCCAATCATCCTTGCTAACTTGTTTGTAGGGCTCAATTTTTGGGTCTAGGCCAGCCTTCACCAATTGTTTATTGTGACTGTGCATATTAGAACGATGGTCACTATACAAACGAGCAAACTTAGCTTCAATGTTTTCCTGAACACATTCTGACTCATCGTATTCAACAATGTCAAACCTTGTCTGTACGAAAAAATAATACATTATTTTGAACAGAAATAATTATATTAATAACGAATATAATAAAATAAGTATAATTACTCGGAGGCGTGCAATGATAGGGGAACGCATGTCATCAGACAAATCATTCATAGGGTCACAGTAATTGGGACGAAAGCCCTAGCCAAGGCTCCCATCTCATTAATTCAACGTTGTGCATTTTTCCCGACTGGGACATTCACACCATTAGGGATATCAACACGCAGCTTCCCATTTGCCTCCACCATCTTCTCTACAGTCTTTCCTCGTGTAGGACCTCATCCCTTCCTGGAGGTCGACCTTGACATTACCAAAATATAATAGATGAATAGAGGAAAATATTTTAAAAGTGTCTAATACAAATGATATCATACCTGTACTGCTAGCTACAATATGTGGACTACGGGTGATTGATGTCGGTGATAGGGATTGCACCTCCTCATG